GAGAGAGAGAGAGAGAGAGAGAGAGATGGAGGGGGGGAGGAAGAATTTTAGTACAGCTAAGAGATAAAAATTTTAATCAGTCACCAAGAAAGTAATGTCCATCTAAAAAACAACTAAATTATGGTCCCGTAAGACCCGATAACAGACAGATATAATCATATGAAAATGAAAATTGTAAACATAGATGTAAAAGATAGCTGAGTGCCATGTTACGTATAGCATTTTTAGAATTATTGAGGTCATAGGGCGTTGGGGTTATCTGCATTACATACCAGTAGTAATATCATTATCTAATCAGTAATACTGGATGTAAAAATTGACTGAATTCGTTTCCATTCTTCTTTTATTTTAACAAATTCTTTTTGTACTTTATTTGAACACATTCTTTATGTATTTTATTCAAACAAAATACTCTCTTTGTATTTTAGTCGAACACATTCTCTTGTATTTTATGTGAACGTATTCTTTTTATTCTTCTTTTATTCGAACACATTCTTCTTGTTCTCTATTCTTATGTCTTCATCTTGACATGGGACATGTCTACCTTATTCAGAGTAACCAATTCACTTCCAAACCCAGAATAGCATTTCACGCTCTACAAATGTTGAATCCCTTCTATTCCAAACCCTTTTGACTCACACAACACTATTTTATACTCATGGTACTTTTTTTCCCCCTGCTTTTCCGTATAAACATGTAACACATTTGAATTTCTTTAGCAAAAAAGTTTTTAAATACAAAGCAAAAATGGTTTTCTTTCTGATTTCTGATTTCAGTCACAAAGGGAAAAGATACCACCAAAATGGCTTGGTCAAATGAGAAATATGGTTTGGGAGAGAACAGTGTTAACAATTGTATATTATGTACTTGTACAAACAACGTTATTAAGCACTGAAAGAAATTGTGTCTCTGCTCCACATTGACGGTGGTACAGACGGTGGTACAGATAGTAGCTAGACATGGAAATGGTTTAAAAGAAACGCGTTAGAAAGGAAAGAATTAAAAAGAAAAGAATTTGAAAAAGGAAAGAATTAAAAAGTACAAAAAAGAAATCACCGTAGAGAGATGTCAGTGTAATGGCAATACGTTATAGCCAACATCTGTTTGCTCTTTTCATCCTTTTGCTATGTTTTAACACTCCATTTTGAAGTATCAATAAATATAATGCAATAATCGTATGTGCTGACTCAACATAAAAGGCTTTGAACGTCTTGCTCTCACTGAAAAAAAAGAGAAAAACCAACTATACAAAAGGTAAACGAGGCAGGGCCAGACCCAGAAAAACTTATTTAAAGAACTTGAACATATGGGTTACGGGTAAACACTGAGAAAATGTTGGATTTTTTAGAGGATTCTAGCGAAGAAATGACTCCAGACCCATAATCACCTATGCCTGTTTCAGATATGGCACTTTATGAGGAAGATATTGTGCCAGCATCCTTTCAACGCTGTCCGGTGATTTTAGAGACATGCGACCTCTGAATTTAACGCCCATCTCTAACAGGCCGAAGATAATTGAGATAGAAGCATCTTTGTAAATTCCTGAAATGTAGAAACTTAAAAAGGCCAGGTTTAGAATTTATTGATCCAGGTTCGTCTGTATTGTTGAGAAAGATGATACCAATTCAGTTTAGAGAAGGTGGAGCAGATTCTTCGACTCTCCTTTGTGTTCTTTACTCAGCGTAAAGTCACAGATTTGCGACAGACATCGACGATCATGGTTTGCCATTTATTCCTTTGCTCAAATGCTGACCTAAAGCAGTTGCAAGCACAGTAAAACGTTTACAAAACTGAAACTGAATGCTCTAAAAAAAAAAGAGCTCTGCATTATCCCGATCCTTTCCCGTCACCCATCTGCTAAGGCTTTCCAAGTAAGGTACTCGGAGTCTACCCCTGCTTCGTTTGCCTTAAATTTTACCAGCAAGAGCAACATGTTCAAGGCCGTTATGTCTATTGAAATGTCTGTAAAGTCTGTATGTTCATTGTTTTCTCGTTATTTCTACTTTGCTTGGATGTTCATTCTATCTATGTACTATATTCTTCCTGAAGAGAATATTAGACACTGTCATTGCGCAATCTAGTATAAGCCCACCAGCAATTTTTTCCATTTTGCGTCACTTATCCACCTTCTTGGTCTCAGGCTTATATGCACACACACACACACACACGCACACACACATACACACACACGCACACACAGATACACATACACACACACACACACGTACACGTACACTCCTTTCCCCCCACCCCAACCACACACACACATACACACACACACACACACGCACACACATACACACATAACAACCCCACAAACACTCACACACAC